AAATTACAATAAAATATGATAAACTATATATAAATATATAAAAACACAAATCACAAACTACTTAAAACTAGAATAATTCTATAGAAAAAATTAAGATATATTTAAAATGAATTAAGTTATATTAAAATGACAAATGTCTTTAAAACTAGACTTATATTGGTCGGTCAGAGACTTTTGAAAGCTATTCAAATTATCAATTTTCTTCAAGAATCCTGGTAAAGCATTCCATAGTCTAATTGCCCTTACTGAAAACGATCTGCCCCCCTCTGTTTCGCGATTAAATCGAGGGCAAACTAAACTGTAGGATCCAAGTGACTATTTCTTTTATGTATCTCCGAGTTTAGTGGCAAAATATCCATAATATATTGAGGGCATTGGCCATTTATACGCTCGTGAACTAGTGTACATATGTTAATTTTGGTTTCATAGAAAAATGGTAGCCAGTTAAGCTTTTTAAATAACTCTACACTATTTGCCTTAGTGTCAATTTCCAAAATAACCCTTGCAGCACGCTTCTGGAGGCGGAAGATCCTCTTTAAGTTCTCTACAGAGCACGAGGACCAAACAGTAGCGCAGCATATAAAATAGTTGCTTTATCATAGCATTATAAAAGAGCAGACGCTGATCAAGAGGGAGGAATCGTCTTATCTTTCTTAACAGTGCGATGCGCTGGGACAGTTTTGCACATAGTCTCTCAATATGATCATCAAAGGACATGTTATCATCAATCTTGACACCCAGAAGTGYGTGTGAGCTCACTTTTTCGAGGTTACTAGAATTTAAACTCAACTGCAGCGTCTGATCACACATCTTATTGTCCAGCCGTTTGCCAGTTATGAGCATTGACTTGGTTAATTATATTTAAAATAAAGTATTATTCATGATTATTGAGAATCATCTTGCAATGTGTTTTGATTTTTTTTATTCACATAATTTACCAATATAACAAAGCACTTAATGACTGTTCCCAAGGGAAACGGTTAGTTTTGTTTCCCGAGAATCTCAATGTTTCCCGAGGTACGCCAAGGGAAACATTGAGATTCGAGGGAAACAAAAACTAACCGTTTCCCGAGGGAACAGTCATTAAGTGTATATTATATTCCTGGTGGGCGCGTATGTCACTAGTATCTTTTGATAACAAAATTCCCATCCAACAAATGTGTTACGCCAAGCCGATATAGTAGCGCGCTCAAATCTTCAATGGTCTAAAT